GATGCATGAACAGCTCGGAAATATCATCACCGCGATGCTCATCATCTGGGGTAACATCTTAAAATAACCATCGTCCTAAACACAAAACCAATCAGACGTATAACGTCGGAATCCGTCCACATCCAACGATGCGGAATGACTAACAACACAACAATATTCGACGTAGATTAAAGCCACATGGGACAAATCCATCGAACTACAGCCAAATCCATGCACTGTTGTGGTTGATGACCACAAATTGAGCCTGCACATTAGATCATGAGAACCGAGAACTGAATGTTGTCGGCAAGCCAGACAGCGGACGTCAGTGTTGCAAAACCAGTTGTAGCCTTCAATGTAAGATCAATCTAGTCTGGCTGACACCTACGAGACCCAAACTTTAGTACTATGCAGCATCCCAATTGACAAACTCGAGAAGCGCTTGCCATCCAATTATAGTTATTATACACTAACCGAGCGCCGCCGCTATACAGCGACAATTCATGTTTAGTCGAAATTTGTAAGGTCTTTCCCGCCTCCGCTACACTTTGGCGGTATTATGGCATTTTTAAACCTCCATTTGTTTATCCATTAGTCTTAAATATTTCCTTCAGCCCATTTCTTTTAAATAGTTCATTTAGACCATTTATTTCATTGAAGCCTTCAAATTGTGTATATCATTATAACAATGGCTATCAAGTCAAAGTTCCCCGAGTTGATCAGTGCAATCTATAGATATAATGTGTTTTCTACAATCAGAGCCTCCTTGGTATAACTATACCAAAACATTACAACATTTCTCTCATTCATCGCACTATACACTTGATTTACAAATGTTAAGCGATAGCTTCTTGCCCTAACAATATTAACATAGGTTTTATAGAACTGACAGACTGATACTGTCAGTTCTATCTATCTCAGTTATTATGCTTCATGTTAATTGTCCACGTTTCCAGTGGGTTAGAGTGTTGTAAGCCGTTTGATACGAAATTTAGTACTCCAGTCATAAATATCTAAAAAAAAAACCGCTCTCACAGTTCTTTATAAATAAACGTTGTATCGTAGCATTATAAAAAATGTTATTCTATTTTCTATTATATCCAAACTTTAAGTTTGCTGCGACATTAATCAGATGTTCGAGTCCATACGAATAGTATCAGTGTTTTGCGGGGCTATTAATTTTACGTGGTTCGGGTGAAACTGTGTATTCTGCGAAGATAATTACTTTCGGGCGGGAAAATCTGACTTTTTTCTTAACAAAACAATAACAACAAAAACAAAGTGCGCGTTTCGCATCGACTGGCAGCC